TGAACCCACCAGTGACTCACTTCACTGCAGAGAAGATTCACTCACACGTCCTCACACGGCTGTCTCCCACGCTAACGATCTCACCCTGACACCAGCGGTTGTCTCGTTTCTAATAAAGTGTCTAACTCAGCTTTCTGTCCTCTTCATGAGCGCTAACAGAAGAATCACTGGTTCACTTTCACGGGGCGAGGACTTAACCGGAGGGTTGTGGGATCAAGTCCCGCTCAGTCTGTCGCAGTCGTTGTGTCCTTGGGCAAGACACCTCACCCTCTGACTTCTGTCAGCGCCCCAGGGCAGCTGTGGCTATGATGTAGCTCATCACCACCAGTGTGTGCAAGGATGAAAGACTGGATGTGTTGTAAAGCTCCTTGGGGGGTTGTAGCACCCTAGAAGGCGCCAAACCATTCACCATTTCATCAGACTGAAGGACACACACGGTAGAGCCCTGCACGGGCCTAAAATCTGAGCCCGTGTCCAGCCCGGCCCGAGGGGGTGGAGCCCCAGCCCGACCCGGTCCGAGAAGGTTTTCAGGATTCTCTGGCCCGAGCCCGACTTTTTCTTTAACCTTTCATGATGTTTTAGCGTGATAGGATGCTCCGCGTCGTCGTCATCTGTGAGAAGCGTTCTGCAGTAAAATAAATAAATAAATAAAGACAGAAAATCAGCATCCATCGCTGGTTTATGTCTAACAGAGCGCATTTTTGAGCAGCAGATGAAATTTACATATTAATTGGATGCGTTAGGAAATTTAATCTGCTCTGAAAATGCGCTCTGCAGTTATAAAATTAGAATGCTGCTTTTTTTCTAATTGCACAAGAGCGAATTTTCAGAGCAGATTAAATTTCCTAACGCATCCAATTAATATAGTGCTCATAAATTTCATCTGCTGCTCAAAAATACGCTCTGTTAGAAATAAACCAGCGATGGATGCTGTTTTATTTTAACTGCAGAGCGAAGTTATTCACAGAAAAACAGAACGCTGCCATTTTCATGAGGATAAACGAATGTTTCTGACATCAGAGTGGACATAAACGGCGGATTAGAACAGGGGAACACGTTTCAATCAGCAGTCAGAGAAGCAGGCAGGTGATGCTGTGTTTAAGTGTTTCAGTTTTTTTATTAATTTGATTAAAAATAAAGGCGCCGGCCCGTGTCCGAGGTAATGACACAGTCGTTGGCCTGAAGCCCGACCCGCGGGCCTAGGGCTTCGGTGCAGGGCTCGTCACACGGGTCAGCCTGCTGCTGATTTGATTTTTTATTCAAACCAACAAGAAATTCAAATCAAGTATTTATTGTGCTTCAGGATCGTGTTTCTGACCACGGCTGTGAGGACGCCTGTCCTCACGTCCAAACATGGACCGGCGAGGGGAATTTTACTCTGTAATGCTAAAACACCGTCCAGCAGGGGGCAGCAGACACTTACAGGATATGAAGGTACTAATCCTGATGCTCCTTCTGGAGACGGGTTGGATGTGGATTCAGGGCCATAAGGGGTTAAAAAGTCCAACAGAGACTAAGCCATGAGAGTAAATGTGACGCGTCAACACAACACAAACAACATCACAGTGGTTTACCGTGTAGAAACCTACCTGAGCTTTTCCAGGGTGAGTCAGCTCCAGGTGGCTCCAGGTATCCCTCACATCCACCCGTGTTTCGTTTTGCATTCATGCTTCATTATTAGGGTGGAGACTGACTCAGCCTTCCTGGCTGGAAACAGGTATCAGGTGAGCTCTGGGCTATAAAACCCTCTCCTGGAAGGTTGGACACCATTTGAACCTGTTGGTGAGAGAGTGTGTGTGTGAGTGTGTGTGAGAGAGAACATAAAGATCTGCACAACCAGCAGTCTGTCAGCCAGGAGCTCATCACACCTCCAGCATGAAGCTGAGGGTTCTGGAGCTGTTGTCTCTGCTTCTGCTGACGTCCTTCACCTGCTGGACTGTGGACACTCAGGTAGAACTCCTCCTCACTAAAAAGCGTCTGCAGCCAGATCTTCTCCTCCGTCAGGAGATTTTATTCAACAGGTTTCTTGTCTTTCTTCTTGATTTGATTCATGGATGTTAGATTTAGTCTCATTGTCCACCAGAAAAGAGAATAAAACACAGAAATATAACCAAAGCTGGAATCATCTAGTTCCAGCAGCAGAAACCAAAACAATGAAGTGTTGGATTGTCCCCGTCAACATGAATGAATTTGATTCGTTCATTTAAATAATCTGATTTTAGAGGTGTTGTTGCTGATGTGTCGATAAGGAGAGAGCAGAATCTAACACTGGGAACACCAACTAGATCTTCCAGGTGACCTCCTGGTCATAGCTGGAGTCAATCCAACTTTAGATGGTCATCATCAGTCAGCTGGTTTCATTAAAAACAGGTGAAACATCAGGTAACCAATCACAATCCAGAGCTGCAGATTTCTAGCAGACCTGAGCCTGATGGAGCTTAAAGCTTCTGTCGGACTGAAGCTGCTGCTGAAGTTTGGTAGAAGCTCCATCAGCATCAGATCTACTGAGTTATTAATATGAGATGAAGACCAGATTTAGATGGAGGCTTATTTCTGGGAGCGTCTAGAACCCATTATTCATCCACAGCTGTTGGTGAGAAATTGGGGGCTTGTCCAGGATCTGTTGAATCATTAAAGAGCAAGTCAACCCCTACCAGAGTCTAACTCCACTCCCACTTCATGTTTGAAAAATGCAACAAATGCTGTTGCCTGGCAGATCGAGAAGGCGGAGCTGCTAACAAATACACACACACACACAGGCTCACGACAGCATTGTGACATCACAATGTAACAGTTTACTTCATAGCATACCTCTTAGCCAATAGCAGTGGCAGATTTAAATTCAAATACAGTGCAGAGTTTTTACCTGACAACGGCACAACACTGCCAGTTTTAGGCAGAATATTTAAATTTTAACTAAGATGCACTGAAGTGCCAAATTATTGACGACACGTGTCTGCAGCACGATTAGACACTCGTTTATTTAGTTTATCAGCAAAAAAAAAGTTTATTTGGGGGTGACTTGCTCTTTAAAGGAGACTGAACCTGTCTCACTCAGAGACAAAGACAACATGGACTCTTTCTGTCCAGCATCAACGTCTCTGATTTAGGCCAATCAAAAGCTTCTGCTTATATTTGAGTTCATCTCTGATTTGGAAGCAAATTTTAGTCTGAAGATTGATGCATTCAAAACACCTGTTACCATGGAGACAGAGACAGGTTTACATCACTTGTTACCATGGAAACAGAGAAAGGTTTACAGCATCTGTTACCATGGAAACAGAGACAGGTTTACAGCATCTGTTACCATGGAGAAAGAGACAGGTTTACATCACTTGTTACCATGGAAACAGAGACAGGTTGACAGCATCTGTTACCATGGAGACAGAGACAGGTTTACAGCATGTGTTACCATGGAGACAGAGACAGGTTTACAACACCTGTTACCATGGAGACAGAGACAGTTTCACTGCATCTGTTACCATGGAGACAGAGACAGGTTTACTGCATCTGTTACCGTGGAGACAGAGACAGGTTTTAGGTGAACTCACCTATTCCATCTTCTTCTGTCCTCATTCAGACCGCAGATATGTCCAGCTCAGGAACCGATGGCTCCACCACCAGTTTACCAGACAGCAACTCCACCTCCACCACACCAGTCACCACCACCACCACTAAACCAACCACCACCACGACCACCACAACCACCACCACCACTAAACCCACCACCACCACGACCACCACAACCACAACCACCACCACCAGTAAACCCACCACCACTACCACCCCGACCACCACCACCAAAACTACCAGAACCACCAACGCCAAAACAACAAACTTATTCAACAACAATGATAACAACACCAGTATAACCAACAGCACCACCAGCTACAACAACGAGTCCCTCAGCACCACTGAATCCAGCTTCACCATCAACTTGTCGACAGTGTCCAGTGGAAAGTGTCACACCTTCACTTCCTTCAGTCTGTTGCTCTCTTTGTTCATTCTTCAGATCACCTGGATGTAAAGAGTCACAGCTGAGACCAGGACAGGTAGTTTACCTTAGACCAGGACAGGTGGTTTACCTTAGACCAGGACAGGTAGTTTACCTTAGACCAGGACAGGTAGTTTACCTTAGACCAGGACAGGTAGTTTACCTTAGACCAGGACAGGTAGTTTATCTTAGACCAGGACAGGTGGTTTACCTTAGACCAGGACAGGTAGTTTACCTTAGACCAGGACAGGTAGTTTACCTTAGACCAGGACAGGTAGTTTACCTTAGACCAGGACAGGTAGTTTACCTTAGACAAGGACAGGTAGTTTACCTTAGACCAGGACAGGTGGTTTACCTTAGACCAGGACAGGTAGTTTACCTTAGACCAGGACAGGTAGTTTACCTTAGACAAGGACAGGTAGTTTACCTTAGACCAGGACAGGTGGTTTACCTTAGACCAGGACAGGTAGTTTACCTTAGACCAGGACAGGTAGTTTACCTTAGACCAGGACAGGTGGTTTACCTTAGACCAGGACAGGTAGTTTATCTTAGACCAGGACAGGTGGTTTACCTTAGACCAGGACAGGTAGTTTATCTTAGACCAGGACAGGTGGTTTACCTTAGACCAGGACAGGTAGTTTACCTTAGACCAGGACAGGTGGTTTACCTTAGACCAGGACAGGTAGTTTATCTTAGACCAGGACAGGTAGTTTACCTTAGACCAGGACAGGTAGTTTATCTTAGACCAGGACAGGTGGTTTACCTTAGACCAGGACAGGTAGTTTACCTTAGACCAGGACAGGTAGTTTACCTGAGCTGTGTGTGAGTCTCACCTGATGGTAAAGTATACACATCAGGATGAGTAATTGTGAGGAAATCTTGAATGCCTTTATTTGGTGGATGAATTTATTATATTTTGACTGAAACAAACATGTAAACAAAAGCATGTTGGATGTTTTCTCTGATGCCTGAAGAGTCCTGATTGGATGATCTGTTGATGTGGAATCAGGTTTTCTCATCAGTCTCACTGAAGATGTTGTTTGTTTTTATCAGCTGTAAACATCCATGTTTCCTAAACAATGCAGTCACATGTACACCTTCTTCTGTTTGTTATTATCACTGTTACTGATGATTGTT